TGTCAGGGCTTACTCAGACGTCTGCAAGTCCCGTTTTCGCCTAAAAAACAGGGGGAAAAGGGGAAAAAAATTGATAATTATGGTGAGAAGGGCTCTCACCATCCCCAGCTTGTCCTGGGGCCACAATGGCCAGGGAAGGGGCACCCAACCTGGGGTAGGGGAGACCCCCACCCTGAGCGTGCCCCCGACTCACACTCCCTCCCTGCGGCAGCACATGAGGTGGCCCAGGAGCAGACAGAGCAGCGCAGCCACCACCAGTGGCACCAGCAGCGTCACCAGGAACCCTGGCAGCAGGTCCTGGGGGGGGCACCTCGGTGGGGGGCTGGAAATCCCCATCCTCCTCCAGCACCCCAGACCCCCAAACCGGCCCCAGAGTCGTGGGACTGGGCCAGACCCGCAGCTGCAACAGAGTTGGGGGTGGTTAGGAGGGGTGGGGGGTCCCCACGGGGGGTGTTGTGAGAGGTGGGGGGACACGTGGGTCTCACCAGGGTGAGGTTGCACCAGCGGATGGAGAAGTGGGGGGCAAAGGTGTCGTAGCAGGAGGCAAGGGGCTGCTGGCCCAGGCTGCAGCGGAAGCGGCTCTGGGGGGACACGGCCGACTCCAGGCATGGGGAGAAGGGGCTATGGGAGCCCACCTTCACGTACACCCTGCGGTAGACGTGGGCCCCCAAAACCCACCCATGGTGAGAAGGGGCCATGGGAACCTGCCTTCATGTACACACTGCGGGGTGGGGGTCACTGGCTGCAGGTGATCCCCAAAACCCACCCATGGGGAGAAGGGGTCATGGGAAACTACCCTCATGTACACCCTCAGGCAGCTTCAGGTGAGCCCCCAAAACCACATTGAGAAGACCCCATGGGAACCCATCATCATGTGCGCCCTGTGGGACGGGGCATTGGTTGGAGGTGACCCCCAAAACCCACCCAGGGTCTGCCCAGGGAGCACCTCCAGCCCCCCCAGCCCTGCCCATACCCCTCCTTGCGCCCCTCAATGGGAAGCGGGACGCGGCCGCCCCGGTCCAGGGTGGAGGTGACGTTGATGACCTGGAGGTCTCCGCGCTCCCAGACTCCGGCCGAGCCCTGCAGGAACATCTCCCGCGCAGCCTCCGGCAGCAGCTCCTCCACATTCCTGTTCCCCACCAGGAACTCGCCCTGGTACGGGGGGTCCCCACCTGTGGGGCGACACGCAGCACCCATGGGGAAACCCCTGGTCCGTCCTGTGGGGTGTCCTGGTGCAACTTGGGGGTGCCCAGCCCTCACCTGGGGCGGGGACGACGGTGATGACGAGGCGCTGGGACACCGTGGCATAGGTGCGGCGGTTGTAGGCCAGCACCTGCAAGGACAGGGGACACCCCTGAAGATGTCACCCCTTCCTGTGCCACCCCAGAAGCAGGGGGTGTGAGGGTGGGCACCTACCTCGATGGTGTGGGTGCCCACCTCGCTGGCCGTGGGGCAGCCATACAGGTAACCGGGCTGGCAGGGGTCCCGTTGGAGGTACCGCAGCCACCGCGGCAGGTCCGGGTGGTCCCGCAGGTGGGCTTGGAAGGTGATGGGGGCTGCTGGGACACACGGGGGGGGTGGGGATGGACACACACATGGGCACGGTACAGGCTGTGATGTGGGTGGACCCCCCCCGCCTGAGAAGTCCTTCCCCGTCCAACTGGTCCCCACAAGGAAACAGGGATGGTCCCTGGGGGTCCTGATCCCCCAAAGGGAGGGAACCCCCAGGGGAGGGGACACGCAATGATGCTCCGGGGGGGTTGACACTGCCCAGGGGGTCTCAAATGGGTGGAGGGTGGAAAGGGAGGGATGGAGGGTGGGATGGGATGGGATGGGATAGATGGATGGACGGATGGAGGGATGGATGGACGGATGGATGGATGGATGTTTACAGGACTGGATGGATGGAGGGATGGATGGACAGATGGTCCAGCTGGGGTGGGGACTGGAAGAGAGGATTATCCAGTGCCCCCGTTATGAGTCCTATCCCCGTAGTCTTCCCATGCTGGCCCTTACCATCATCATCCTCACTCCCGGTGGGAAAGGCCTCCTGGAACAGCTCCCGCTCCAGCTCATGAACGAAGACATTTCCAGTCTCAGAGGAGATGCGGTGGTCAGGGAGGACGTGCTGGTCGGGGAGGGTGGCCTGGGACATCCCCAGGGCCATGGCTGTGACCATACACAGGGCTGGGGCCGAGGTTGGGGACACACGGCCCTTCCTGCCTCAGATTCCCCTTTTCCGGAGACCCCGGGACAAGCCACAGGTGCCCACAGACCCCCTGGGACAGAAACGTGTTCCTGCAGGGCCAGGTGTCCCAAGGCAGTGGAGTGGGGATATATTTAGGAGAGGATGGGATAGGGACAGGGACAGGGACAGAGACAGGATAGGGACAGAGACCAGGATGGGGATGGGGACAGGATGGTGGCAGGGACAGAATGGGACCAGGGATGGGACAGGGATGGGGAAAGAAGCAGGATGGGGACAAGGACAAGAAAGGGACAAAATGGGAATGGAGTCAAAGATGGAGATGGGGACAACGACAGGAAGGGATGGGGACAGGATGGGGACAGGGTCAGGGATGGGGCCAGCACCTTCCCTTTCCCTGGCCCTGTCACGCCGAGGTCCCACTTGCTGTCCCCCACCCTGCCCCAAACCCAGTTGGCATCCGGGACAGGAAGGCTTTATTTAGCTCTGTCACGTCCCAACCCTGTCCCCACGTCCTCTCCCACTTACACTCCCCGTGCCCACCCTGCTCTGGGGGTCCCCCCCCCGCCCTCCCTGCCGGGGGTCCCCGAAGCCCAGTCGTGTCCCCCCAAGGGGGTGACAGGGCTGTCACTCGCCTGCCAGCACCCAGAGCCGGAGCAGCTCGGGCACCTCCATCTTCGCCAGCGCTGGGAATGGGGCCAGGGCTGATTGACAGAGGCAGCAGGGACTGCCCAGGACGGGAGGGCCCTCCTGGGGGGGGGTCCCACAGGGGACATCCTGCCACAGCCACCTCTTGCCACCAAGGCACGGAGCACCGGGGCTGCCGAGGGCCTCCCGTGTCCCCTGGTGGCGTCCGTGGGGTGTCCCCTGGGTGGGCTTGTCCCAGTGCCCCACTGAGGGTACCAGGGTGGCAATGAGGGGACGGGATGGGGGACACTTGGGGATAGCCCCTACCAGCATGGCCACCACCACTGCCCTGCACACGCATGTGGCACCAAGATGGGAACACGTGTGTGCACACGCGTGGGTGCGTGGGGACAGTGACATGGGTGGAGGGCACTGGGACAGCAGGGGGTGGCACTGATGGGGACCAGACTCTGTGGTGGGGCTTGGGGGGGACAGGTGGTAGTGGCAGAAGGGAAAGGGGGTAGTCGTGGGGGGGGATGTTGCACCATGTCACGCCTCATCACGCCTCGTCACGCCTTGTAACGTCATGTCACACACAAAGGGTCGGGAGATGCCTTGGGTGACAAAGGGGACACACACACATCTGCAGGGTCCTGCTACCCCAGACTGGGGGTGCAGGGGTGCCCTCCACCCTGCCCTTCACCCCCTCGGGGGGGCTCCTCACACAGCAAGGACCCCCAACACAGCCATAGGTTGTCGTGTCTGCCCCTCCCCTCCCCACCAGTGGGAAGACAAGAACCCCCCAACAGCCCCCCCAAAATATCCCCTGGCCACTGCAGGAATGAGGGGAGCAGCACCGTAGCCCCCCCTCCGGGACCCCCTGCCTCAGTTTCTCCTCCTGCCACTCCTGAGTGGAGGTGTCAGAGGGGATGTGCAGCACCCCCAAGATGGATTTAGGGGGACAGAGAGTAAATGGGGGACACCGCGGGACACCTAGAGGTGGGGGGTGCTTCGGGCATGGAGGTGTGGAGGTCCCAGGGAGGGCGATGAGGGGGACATGTGGATAAAGCTGAGGGGACACAGGGAGAGGAGCAGGAGGGGACACAGGGAGAGGAGCAGGAGGACACAGGGACAGACCCCGGAAAGGCATGGGGACAGGGTGGGGGAACGTGGACAGAAATTTGGGAGGACACGGGGATCAGATGGAGGGATGTAGGTACGAACTTGGGGGGGTTGTGGGTATAAACTTGGGGGGATACGAGGACAGGATGGGGGGATACAGGGACAAACTCGGGGGGACATAGGGGCAATCTCGAGGGATATGGGGACAGGATGGGGGGAGATGTGGGGACAGGGCAGGAGTGGATGTAGGGGAAGACCCATGGGGTGTGAATACAGAACTGGGGGGTACAGGGACAGGACCGAGGGGACACGGGGACCAGCCTGGGGGCCACGGGGACAAAACTGGGGAGGGGGGGACAGGAGTAGAATCAGACAGACACGGTGGGGAGCAGAGATGGGGAGGTGGGAGACACACGGGGACAGAGCTGGAGGGGACAGAGCTGGAAGGGGGGACACACGGGGACAGCGCGAGGGGGGGTAACAGCGGCCAAGGAGGTGCGGGGGGGGACCCACACTGCACAGCGCCGATGCTGGGGGGGGACGCGCCGCAGGGAGGGGACCCCCGGGCGGGTGCGGGGAGGGGACCGTAGGGGGAGAGGGGGCTTTGGGGTGGGGGTGGTGGGGGGTCCCCATGGCCGGGCTGAGGCGGCGGCGGCGCTGAGGCCGAAGCGCGGCGCCGAGGAAGAGGAAGAGCGAGAGAGCGCTGCTAAGACCCAGAGGGCTCTGCGGGCAGCGGGGCGGGCAGAGCGCGCAGGCAGCGGCGGCTCCATCACCAGCCACAGAGAAAGGGGAAGAGGAGGAGGAGAAGGGAGGAAGGAAGAAGGGCCGCGGCGGAGCAGGGCGGGCGGGGGGGGCCCCGCCGAGGATGGACATGGCCTGACGGGGCCTGGCAGCCGGCCGGTGCAGGTGTGCCGGCGGCGGCCCCCCCCCGGCAGCATCCTCGCCCTCCCCGATGCCGCTGTAGCCGGCGAGGGGCCGCGGCGTGAGCGGGGGCTCGGCGGGGGCGGCGGCGGCGAGCGATGCTGCGGGGAGAGGCGGCGGAGCCATGCTGAGGACGGAGGCAGGCGGAGGGGCGGCCGCCGGGGGGGGGTCCCCCTCCTCCGGCGGGGCGGCGGGCGGCGGGGGGCTGCGGAGCGCGTCCCCGCACCGGAACGCCTACGAGGCCACCATCCAGGCCCTGGCGCCCACAAAGGAGGCCGACGGCGGCGAGGACGGCAAGAAGAGCCGGGGCAAGAAGTATGGCTCCAACGTCCACCGGATCAAGAACATGTTCCTGCAGATGGGGACGGCGCCCGGCCCCGAGGGCGCCTGCGACCTGGCCAAGGCCAAGGAGAAGCCGGTGCGCCTCTCCTTGCCCCGCGCCGGCAGCCTCAGCGAGACCGTGGACCAGGGCAGCCTCCTCAAACTGGGCACCAGCGTCTCGGAGCGGGTCAGCCGCTTTGACTCCAAGCCCGACAAGCCCTTCTCCAAGCTGCAGGAGACCCGCAAGATCTTCGAGAGGAGCCCGCAGGAGAAGGCCACCACCACCAAGCTGCTGCTCCGCAAGGAGCGCGCCGGCTTCCAGGACCGCAAGCTGGACGTGGTGGTGAGGTTCAACGGCAGCACCGAGTCCCTGGACAAGCTGGACGCCGACGCCGTGTCGCCCACGGTCAGCCAGCTCAGCGCCGTCTTCGAGAAGGCCGATCTCCGGAACAACCTGCACAAGGCGCAGGGCAGGGCGGGAGCGCCGCTCAACGCCAAGGTGGTGGGCAAGCGGCCACGGGTCTTCGCACCGGGCGCCGAGGCCGGGCGCCAGGGCGATGGGCACCCTGCCCCAACCCGCGCCCGGCCACCCGAGGAGGAGAAGGTGCCGAGCAAAAGCGTGAGGCCGGCGGAGAAGGAACCGGCTGCCCCACGGGTGCAGGAGGTCTGCAAGATCAAACCGGTGGAGGTGGAGGAGAGTGGAGAGGGCGAGGATGAGGAGGAGGAGGCGGCGGCAGCAGGCGAAGCGGTGCCACCCGTGCCCCAACTGGCCAAGGGGGACGAGGGTCCGGCGGCCACTGCCCCACGGCTGGATGGGGGCGCCGGGGTGGCCGCGGGCGAGGAGGGCGTCAAGGGCGAGCGGGCGGAGGAGGGCGATGGCTACGAGGAGGCCAAGAAGGAGGACTTCTCTGAGGCAGACCTGGTGGACATAAGTGCCTACAGTGGGCTCGGGGAGGACTCGGGGGGCAGCGGGCTGGAGGAGGAGGAGGAGGCCGAAGGGCTGTACGAACCTGAGTCAGGCTGTGTGGAGATCCCTGGGCTGTCTGAGGAAGAGGAGCCCGTCCCCAACCGCAAGATCCAGTTCAGCACAGCGCCCATCCAGGTGAGACTGGCTGGGGGTGGGGGGCAGCTGGGGAGGAAGGGAACCTGGGGTGAGGGGTAACCAGGGTGACGTGTACCCAGGGGACAGGTACCCAGGGTGAAGAGTACCCAGGGTGAGGGGTACCCTGGCTGTACCCAAGTGGGCCCAGGTGGGCAAGCAGCCCAAGATGAGGGGTATCCTAAGATGAAGGGCACCCCAGGGTGAGGGGCAGCCCAGATTGGTGTATGGGACCCCCACAAAATCACCCATTTGGAGGGGACAGAAAAATGGGGTGCAGGTCTGTGCCCCCCTGCCCTGTACCCTCCACAGACAGGGCATCCCTCCTGACCGTGCCCTTGCACTGGGGGAAGCTGGGCCTGGGCCTGGCTAACGAGCTGGCTAATGAAGAGCCAAACCTGGGCATGGTGGGGACCCCCTGCCAACAAGAGGCCCCCCGGGGCTGGTGCAATGGGGTCAGGTACCTGCTGGGGTGGACTGTGCACAGTACCCAGTGCCAACCTCCCCATCGTGCCCTGGACGGGCCAAGACCTACTGCATATTTTGGGAGGGGATGCCTGAAATATCCGTGTACGAGGTGCTGGGTGCCGGGGCTGTGCCACCCTTGGTCCTGGGTGTCCCTCGGTGCCAGGACTCCTCCCAGACCGGGGGGGTCCCCTAGGACAAGGTGGCGCTGGGGTGTTTGTGCCCCCCGTCGTGTGCCCAGTCCGGTGCCCAGAGCCGTTTCGGGAAGTGGAGGAAGGGGAAGTGCCGTGGCAGCGTGGCCGGGTGGGCGGCATCGCCCGAGCACCCTCCGCTCCCTGCCAGGGATCCTGGCAGGGTTTGGGGTCCCTACCTGGGATGCTCCCCCAGTGAAGAGGGGGCTAAAGGGGCCATGCAGCTATTTTGGGGTGTTCTCTCCCGCACGGGTCCCCCCGACCGCGGGAGCAGCGGTTGCTTTGTGCCGGAGCCGGGTTATTTTTAGAGCCCCGGCCTATATTCTGGCTCTGAGTCAGAGCGGGTGGGTGGCCCCACCTGGGACAGGGGGACAGGGGGACAGGGGAACAGGGAGCACCGTGGCCTGGGCAAGGGGCAGTGGTGGCCGTGTGCTGGGGTGGCTGCACATTGCAGGGAGTCTTGATCCTGTGGGAACCAGCCAACCCGGACCTGGGAATGGTGCCCTGGCCATGGATGCATTTTTGGGGTGCTCTGCTCACCCCAGCACAGCCTTTAACCTCTTGTTTTTACCTACCTCGGGGGGGGGGGGGGGTCCCACATGTGGGGATGGGTGGAGAGTGGGATCCAGGTCCCTGCCCAGGTACAGGGGTGATGTTGAGTCCCCCAAACCCGCTGTAGGTCTTGGAGATGTTGGGGACCCCCCCAGCCCAGCGCTGGGGGCACACACTGTCAGCCCCTTCCCTTGGCTTCAGCTGCTTCTCCCTTGGAATCTACTCCAGGCCCCCCACACATCCCAAATCCCCCAGGACCTGGGGGTGGGGTGGGAGGCACAGCAGGGTGAGTGGGGTCATGTGCCCACAGCCCCCCAGGGACCTCATATGGACAGGGGGACATTGGTACATCTACCCTGCTCCTCCCTGTCACCCCTGGGTGCCACCCGTGTGGGTCCTGCCCTTCTGCGGGTGTCACTGGGCTTTGTCCTCTGACACTCATCCCTAATACCCTTTGTGTCCAGGCTTTATCACCACGGTGTTATCCCTAATCCACTCACTCTGGCGGCTTCGAGGGGCCAGGGCCCCTCCTGGGACATCTGCCAGGCCCAGCCCCTGCCAGCCCCTCCCCAGCAGCCCCCAGTGGACATGGCACCCACTCCCTCTGGCTCCAGGCTGGGGACAACGTCCTGGAGGCACATCCAGCCTCGGCCAGGGAGGGTTTAGGGGTGCCCCATGGTGGGGGTCAGTGTCCCCAGGGATTTGGCACAAAGAGATGCCCCACAACAAGGGTCAGTGTCCCTGAGGATTTGACACAGGAGGGTTTTGGGGTGCCTCATGAGAGGAGTCAACATCCCCAGGGATTTGAGGTGCCCCATCCTTCTATTAGTCCTTCATTTCATCCACCCATTCTTCCACCTATCCTTCCTTCCTTCCTTCCTTCCTTCCTTTTTTCTAGTCATTCTTCTATCTATCCATCCATCCATCCATCCATCCATCCATCCATCCATCCATCCATCCATCCATCCATTCACCTTTTCATCCATCCATCCATCCATCCATCCATCCACCTTTTCATCCATCTGTCCATCCATCCATCCTTCCATGGGGTGCAGGCACCATCTCCTCTCCCAGAGCCACCTCCAAACCCTTTGTCCTTCCTCATCTCCCCCTCCATGACACGATGTGGGGAGGGGGGTTCTCTGGTGTCTTACAGGCTCCCTGCCCTGCCCATACCTGGGGCTCTCCCACCTGGGAATTCCCATTGCCATGGGTGTCCCTGGTGTTTTCCCACCTGACTGAGCAGCTCCCTGTTCCCACCAGGTGTTCAGCACTTACTCCAATGAGGACTACGACCGCCGCAATGAGGACGTCGACCCCATGGCCGCCTCGGCCGAGTACGAACTGGAGAAGAGGGTGGAGAGACTCGACCTCTTCCCTGTGGAGCTGGAGAAAGGTGGGTCCTCACCCCGTCCCACACCCCAGGACCCTTGTGGCACCTTGGAGGTGACTCTGTGGCATTGGGTGGCCGTGGCCACCCCACCAGGACACGTCTGTCTGTCCCACAGACTCCGAAGGGTTGGGGATCAGCATCATCGGGATGGGAGCAGGGGCCGACATGGGCCTGGAGAAATTGGGAATCTTCGTCAAGACGGTGACGGAAGGAGGGGCGGCCCACCGGGATGGCAGGTACGGGCTGGGGGGACTGCCCACCTGTATGGCTGCTCCTGGCACGGGGGTGGGAGCAGGGACACGGTTCAGGTGTTCCCCGGGATCAGGGAGATGATCCAGGTGTTCCCTGGGTGGGAGCAGATGATGATCCAGGTGTTCCTTGGGGTGAGAGCAGGGAAATGGTCCAGGTGTTCCCAGGATGGGAGCAGGCAGATGGTCCAGGTGTTCCCCAGGGTGGGAGCAGGGACATGGTCCAGGTGTCCCCATGACAGGAGAAGGCAGATGATCCAGGTGTTCCCAGATAGGAGCAGATGATGACCCAGATGTTCCCTGGGGTGGGAGCAGATGATGATCCAGATGTTCCCTGGGGTGGGAGCAGATGACGATCCAGTTGTTCCCTGTGGTGGGGGAGGTGGGCGAGGGGTGGCCCTGTTGTGACGGTCCCCTTGTCCCCAGGATCCAGGTGAACGACCTGATTGTGGAGGTGGATGGCACCAGCCTGGTGGGGGTGACCCAGAGCTTCGCCGCCTCCGTCCTCAGGAACACCAAGGGCCGCGTCCGGTAGGACCCAGGGCTGGGGGGCTTGAGGGGCTGGGAGACCCCCAGAATCTGTGCTGAGACCCCAGTGGTCCCTGCCCCATAGCCTGTCCCCAGGCTGGGCTGTGCCCCAAAATACCACTCCCCCTCATAAATACCACTCCCTCCTCATGCCCGCTGCCTGCCCTGTGTCACCCGAGCACCCCCCAACACGCCCCCAACTGCTCCCCATGACACCCCCTAAACCCACCACTCCCAGGAGGACTGCAGGGATGTCCCTCAGCTGTGTCCCCCACCCTGTCCCCATGCGGCCAGGCCCCCCGTCCCTGCTGACCCCTCGTGCCCGCTGCCCCCCCAGGTTCCTGATCGGGCGGGAGAAGCCGGGGGAGCAGAGCGAGGTGGCACAGCTGATCCAGCAGACGCTGGAGCAGGAGCGGTGGCAGCGGGAGATGATCGAGCAGCGCTACACCCAGTACACCGAGGACGACGAGGAGGTGAGGGGACAGCGCCCACCCACCCAGGGTCCCCCCGCCCGACATGGGGCCGATGACACCGTTTCCCCGGGTGGGGATGCCAATGGTGCCCTGTGCCCTCCCCAGACGGGCGAATATGCGACGGACGAGGAGGAGGAGATGAGCCCCATGTTCCCTGGTGGGGAGATGGCCATCGAGGTGTTCGAGCTGGCTGAGAACGAGGACACGCTGTCCCCCGTGGAGATGGACCCCGAGAAGCTGGTGCACAAGTTCAAGGAGGTGAGGAGGGGCTGGGGGGAAGCTGGGGGAGAGGGGGCTGCCCACACGTGTGTGCCCACCCCATACCCACACCGGCTCCTCCCGCAGCTCCAGATCAAACACGCTGTCACCGAGGCCGAGATCCAGCAGCTCAAGAGGAAGGTGAGTGGGGGTCTGGGGGTCCTGGCTGCCCAGGGGTGGGGGGACACCCTGACATCTCCCCTGGCACCCCTGGATCTCCATCTCCACCATCCTCTCCGAATTCCTCACATCCCCACCCCTGCCCTGCTCGTGCTGTGCCGTGTTCTGCCTGTCACCTGGCTGTACCATGGCATGCCTGTTCCCTGTTCGATCCTTGCTGTGCCATGCCATGCCACACCACGTGGCTGTGCCATGCCATGCCATGCCTGTTCCCTGATTTGTAATGCCATGACACACCATGCTGTGCCATATCCTTATCCCTGACTCTGCCATGCCATACCATGCTGTGCCATGCTTGTTCCCCGACTCTACCATGCCATGCTGTGCCATATCCCACTCCCTGACTGTGCCATGCTGTGCCATCCCCAGCTGCAGTGCCTGGAGCAGGAGAAGGCACGCTGGCGGGCTGAGAAGGCCCAGCTGGAGCAGAGCGTGGAGGAGAACAAGGAGCGGATGGAGAAGCTGGAAGGGTACTGGATGGAGGCCCAGAATTTGTGCCAGGCCGTGGACGAGCACCTCAAGGAGACCCAGGCCCAGTACCAGACCCTGGAGCGCAAGTACAGCAAGGCCAAGCGGCTCATCAAGGAGTACCAGCAGAAGTGAGGGCAGCGTCCACCCCCTGCCCATCCTCCCCTGGGCACCCCGTGTCCACCCGGGCATGGACTCGTCCCCTGGGAATTGACCCCTCCTCAGGCACCCCTGGTCCCTGGGAACATTGGGCTGGGCCAGGCCCTCCCTGGGCATCCCTGATCTCTGGGCACAGACCATACCATTGGCCGTGGATCCATCCCCCAGGAACCAGATCCTTCCCTGGCACCCCCTGTCCCTGGGCAGAGCCACATAACGTGGGCACGGATCATGCCCTTGGTGTGGACCCTCTTGTGGGGCTCTGACCCCTTCATGGGCACCCTTTGTCCCTGGGCACTTAACATCCCTTGGGCAGAAATACATCTCTTGGGGCACCAGATCTTTTCTGGGCACCCCCTGTCCCTGGGCAGGGACATTCCACTGGGCAGGGACTCCTCCGTGGGGAAACAGCTCCATCCTGATCATGGATCATGCCCTGGGAAGGAACCTTCCTCTTGACAGAGACCCATCCCTGGGGCACCAAATCCTTCCTGGGCACCCTTTGTTCTCTTGGCATGGACCATTCCCTGTACAGGGACCTTCCCTGTGATATGGATCCATCAAGGCCAGGTTGGACAGGGCTTGGAGTAACCTGGTCTAGTGGAAGGTGTCCCTGCCATGGCAGGGAGTGGGATAAGATCATCTTTAAGATCCCTTCCAGCCCCAACTATTCCATGACTTGATGATTCCATGATCCCTGGGGCTCGTGTGCATCCCTCATTCCCTGGGCATGGCCCATCCCCTGGAAGACCCCTGGGCACCATCATCCCACTGGGCTGGGTGTCCCAGGATGCCCCTGCCCTGGTCCCCCTCCCTGGGGTATCCCCAGTGCCAGGTGGGGGGGAGGCCGTGCACCCACGCACCGATTCCCGCAGGGAGATCGAGTTCCTGAAGAAGGAGACGGCGCAGCGGCGGGTGCTGGAGGAGTCGGAGCTGGCACACAAAGAGGAGATGGAGAAGCTGCAGGAGAAGGTGGGCACCGGGCACCGGGACCAGGGGTGTCCCTGAGCCCCCCAGCCCCGCCCAGCCACGGCCACGCCGCTCCTGGGGCTCCGTCACCGATGGATCGCGGGGGATCTGCTGGGCCGCTGGATCCCACACTGGGGGGCTGTGGAGCCGTGTGGGGCACCAGTTCCCTCTGGACTGAGCTACGGCCACTGGATCCCACCCCAGCTCACGGTGGATCTGCCTGGGGCTCCCACCGGGATTGTGCTCCCGCCACCGGATCACAGCGGATCTGCTCGGGCGCTGGGCAACGCCCGGGCTCCTCCCGGCGCTGGATCCCACACTGGATTGCAGGGGATCTGCCTGCGGATCCTGCTCCGGGGTCTGACAGCCCACAAAGAGATCACCTCGGGCACCAGATCCCAGGCTGCTCACGCGGGATCCCATGAGGGATCCCCAGAGATCACCCCACACGATCCTGTTGGGAGCCGGATCCCATGCTGGTCATGCTGGATCCCCCAACAGACCCCACTGGATTCCATGCCAGCCACACAGGATCCCCCCCAGCCGTGGGGTCAGAGCCGTGCGGGGCCACAGCAGATCCCAGATGGGCTCACCGGATCCCAAAGGATCCCAAGGGTCTGCTGTGGGTCATGGGGGGGGGGGGGCCCCCCTCCCCACCTGGGGGGCACCATGGCACAGCGGGGAGGTCCCTGGCACCCAGCAGAGCCCCTCCATGCACCCACCTCCATCACCCCAAAATATCCCCTGACATCTCACAGAGACTCACCCACCGCCTGCAGCCCCCTCCCCATCCCTGCCCTCTCCCCATCCCTGTGCCCCCAGTCTGCCCCCCTGTTCCTGCCCCCCCTCCACCCATCTCTGTGCCCCTGTCCCTGTGTCCCCAACCTGCCCCCCATCTCTGTGCCCCCATCTCTGTGCCCCCATCCCTGTCCCATCCACCCCTCCAGTCTCCTGCCCCTCTGTGCCATCTCCTTGCCCTCCCTCTCGTCCTTCCCACCCTGCCGTGTTTCCCCCCGCCCCAGCACCCCCATGTCCTGCCCCCTTTGTCCTTCCCCCCAGTCCCATCCATCCCCCCGTCCTGTCCCCCCATCTCCATGTCCCCATCCCTGTATCCTCATCCTGTCCCCCCACCCCACGTTCACAGCCGTGTCCCCCCCC